CTACCCTTAGTCTGTCAAAGACAACTTCACCTCTGGCGGATGAGTGGTGCTAGGACTGTCCAGTAGACTACTTTATCCACACCCATAATCTAATCTCTGCTATTTAGACTGTAGTATAATATGCAGGATACATTGTCTGACAAAAAATTTATACACAAATTTGAAGAACGGCAGTGCAATACACGTGTTGCGTCAGAGGTAGCTCTGTCTTTGGCGCAAAATAAGCGCCCGTCCGCTGAAGACAAAGCTGGATATGCAGATTTGCGAGCTAGACTTGCGTGTAAGTGGATTCAGAGCCATTGAGGTATGGTATATCAATGTATTCACTCAAAACACTAAATTAGATCTGGAAATGCAAAGTCTACCTTTCTATTGCCCTAGCATTGTTCATAAAGTTCATATTTCTTCTATGCCATTCTGAGAACATTTCTGGGGGACCAAAAAGTTGTAGTCCCAGAGTGCAAGTATGTAGGCATGGCAAAATAAGATGCATCTCATAGAGAGGAATAGTCTACGATACCAGCACTCTAGACACGGCCACAGCGGTGATGTATATGGAGGATGTCTACACACATGTGTGTCCGCCAAAGGCATTGTTGTCTCTGACGGACGTCATCCCAAGGGTCCAGGACATGCACATGATGGCTGACGGAGGAGAGCACGACGACCGCCAGTGCCCACTAGCTCTCACTTGCACGCGCTGGCCCTCTTACTAGTAGCCACCAGCTCCTCCTCACTTCACACGAACACGCCGGGCTGCCGCGAGCGACTTTCTCCGTTCTTCTCGGGCTCTGCTCGCTTGCTCTCTCTTTTCACCAGCAAGACGACGACTCCTCGCACTCGACTCACGCCTACTCTTGCGTTCTGGCCTCACATGCTCGGCCACTTGCAGACCTTCTGGACGACCCACCGCACCCGAGTCGACGCTCGCCAAGCACAACCTTGCAACTTAGCAGCGCTCGTCGCGTCCTGGGATGTTGTCATCGCCTGTCCTCGATCGCGGCCACCGTGTAGGTGCGCGTCGCTCGCTTGCCTCGCCCGTCGACTCCATCGCTCGTCTGCCAAGGCCGCAAGTCTGCTCGGCTCGCTGCATCCCATCCGCCCTTCTCGTCCTGTATTCTCCGCTGCTCGCTCTGCTCTCCTGCTGCGTTCAACGACGATTCCCGCTCGCCTTCCTACTGCGGATCTGCGATTCTGCATGCATACGTTCGCGAGAGTGCTCAACCACACCGCGTGAGCCTGGGCCCACGAACACCATCCATCCATCCGCGCAGTGCATCTCTTCGCTCGCTGTCTCCAACTTCTCTTCGACTGTCCTCCGCGCTCCTGGTTTGAGCTTCCTCGCCCGTTTCCCGCCGTTTCCCTCTGTTTCCCGCCCTCCCTCCTGTCGGGCACCCTCCGCAGAGTGCATACATCCACTCCGCTGATGCTCCCCGTGCTCGTAGATAGTACCCATATCGCCCGCAAGCCGAGCGCACTCGCCCGCCAAGTGAGCTTTTTACCAACTCTCCCACATCACGCTACTCACATTGTCTGCGTCCCTCAGATAGTCTGCGACTTTTCGACAATATATATCCGTCTCCTCCGCGCCCCCTCTTGCGACCTTGCGCGTTTGCGGGTGCATTCTCTGCACATGCCCTACAGCCAACCGCGAGCAGAGAAACCGACAGCAGCGCGCTATGGGCAGAACAATATGCTCCTTCAATCAGAATCTCGCGCCGCCCTTCAAACACAAGTCCCATTCCGCCCGTTTTGTGTTCTACGCGTTCACAGAACAACCCCGCCGCACCAGGTACTTGCGTTCGCCGGCTGAAATGCGCACACTCGAATCAACCGCCACCATCCAATTCCGCCATTCCCAGGGCTAATCTGCGCGAACTGCCCTCGCATGGCACACACCGATGGCCCTGTCACAATACCATACGTCCAGTCGAAAATCGAAGCCGCAGACCACGCGCAGCGGCCGCTATCGTCAATACAAGCCGGACGTCCCAACTTGCCACTCGCACTTAGCACCTACAGCCACTTCGGGTGCCCTCGACTCTCCCGGCTGCGAATCTGCGCGTTCTCAGCCACTTTCTCGCGCTCTGACGTGTTTTGCCGAGAGAGACGATTCCTGATACCCCCCCTGCGCAAGTTGAGCCCGCGGCGCGCGACTTCGAGTCCAGGAGCTCGAATCTGGTGCTTATAGCCGGCTCGGCGGTCCCCGAGTCTCCCTCTGGCGTTTCCATCTGTTCCCCGCCACTCTCCTGCGCCCTGACGCGTGCATCAGATAGATACAACACCAGCAACTCCCCATGTCTGATCTCAGGCCACGACGCACAACCTCAAGTCCGCCAGCTCGACTTGTGGCGCTTGCAGCCAGTTTGTGTGCCCCCGACTCTCCCAGCCGCGTTTCCGCTCGCTCGCAGCCACTCTGCTGCCCGAAAACGCGCGACGCGGCAAGATACAACTCTAAACTGCCCCCACGCGCGATTTCAGCCCGCGCCGCGCACGGTGAAGTCCGTGAGCTCGGTTCCGTCGCTTGCAGCCAGTCTCCGGCCCCCCGACTCTCCCCTCGCATTTCCCCAACTTGACGGCCGCGCCAACGGCTGCAGACGCATGGTACAACTCGCCACGGCCACTGGCTACGCGTACGCGCAGTTTCAGCCATCCACGACGTTCCGGCATTGCGAACTTGTGCTCCCAGCCTGCCCCTTCGCGATTTTCGCGCTCATTCGCGCTCGTTTGCGCGTCCTCTGCCATTAAGAGTGTTCTGCGACATGACACAGCCAAAGGGCACCTCCACGCGCACGTTCGGCGTACCAGGATGCGCGGGAGCGCGGCCGGACGGACTCTGCGCCCACGGGCAGCCCCCGACCTCTGGGCGAGTTCCGTGCGGATTTCACGATGACGCGGCGCGACGCGGACGCGGTCGCAGGGCCTGTGTGCGGGACGACACAGCGCAGCTGGATTCGCGCAATTTGGACGTCCTGAGAGCGTCCGAGAGGTGTTTGGGTAGATGGGCTCCCCGGAATTGTTCCCCCTCTGTAGCCCGGAGTTTTGCTCGCCCTGGCGCGATGCTTCTGCCCTGTACAGTACGAGCATGCTAGCCTTGAATGCGATGCGATTTGGACGGCGAAAGTGTGACTTCTGTACTTGTCCCTGGCCCCAGTACCAAGTCCCCCCGTGGAGCCCCACTCTCCATAGAGCCCCCTGTCCACGCACTCTCCATAGAGCCCCCTGTCCACGCAGAGTCCGTTAATTTCCTCGCAGCCATTTGCACATCACCGACCTCCACCCACCTGCACGGACCGGCACACTCGCCCCAGCCCCGCCGCCAAGTCCCCAGCGCCGTACACGCAAAATACCTGCGGTGTGAGTACCCTCCGAGTCAACAACCCACACTGACAGCGAGACTCACGTCCTCCCTCCTCCTAGATATCCGTCCCGCGTGATGCAGGAATGTGCACGCGGTGCCCCATGGAATGTCGGCTCGGGTACACCCCCGATGCCTGGTCCTGCCAAATCTCCGTCCGGTGGGAGTTCGACAGCACGGGCAAGCGGCTCGAGGAGGTGCAGGAGGTTCCCTTCGGGCCGTGCCTCATGGACAAGACGCTCGTGGAGCCGATGCTGCGCCGCGCGCAGGCGGCGATCCTCAGCGCGTCGGGCGGCACGGGGAGCCAGGAGGCCGCGGTCGTTCTGTTTTCCGCACGTGTATGGCTGATTGATGGGAGTAGGTATCGTCCAGAACACGGAGGCCGAGGTCGTGACACTTGTCGAAGACCTCGTGACGTCGTACATCGAGAGAAACTGCTTGATTCTCGTTGCACTTCCTATGAGCGGTAAGCTGTGTGTCTGAGGCTCAAGGTCCTTCCGAAGTACTCACGTCTCCACCAGACGACATCGAGAACCAAAAGGCCGCACGCATCGCGAAGCACGCCGACCCCCAAGGTGTACGCACCATCGGTGAGTCATTCGTTCCTCGTACATCTGTGCGATCCCGCTGACTGAATCCGCGTACCAGGCGTGCTCACAAAGCCCGACACGATCCCCGTGGGGTCGACGAAGCGCCGCGACATGTGGCTCGACGTGCTCGAGGGGCGCGAGCACGCGCTCCAACACCGCTACTACTGCACGCGCCAGCCGGACGACGACCAGCGGCTTACGGGGATCACGCCCGCCGCGGCGCGCACGGCGGAGGCGGACTTCTTCCGCACGACGGTGCCGTGGAGCGGGTCGACGTGTCCGCACCGGTTCGGGACGCAGAACCTCGTGAGAAGCATCAGCGAGCTCCTGACGCGCATCATCAGCGATTCGTGAGGCTTGTTTACACGGGGGAGGGCAGCGCAAGCGTACTGACGACGCGGGCTCGGACAGGCTGTCGAAGCTCATTGGGGAGGTCGCGGCGCAGCTGGCGGCGACGAACAAGCTGCTCGAGGGGCTCCCGCCGGCAGTCACGTCGGAGCCGTCCGTGTTTGTGCTCGACCTTGTGACGAAGTTTCGCAACGACATCGTCAAACTCATCGAGGGCTCCCCGCGGCACACACGCCTCGTGCAGGCCAATCGCGACACGTACGAGAAGTTCAAGTATGCGATCCTCGGGAGCGCCCCGCCATTCCTGCCATACGAGAACGCGCAAGTGGCGCCAAAGACGAAGACCAAGGCAAGGCAC